GCGGCGGCGCCTGCGCGCCGTGGAGCTTGAGAACCTCGTGGCCAACTCGCTGCTGCTGAAAGCGCGCCAAGGTGGGTGTGCACGGCGGGCGCCGGAGCCTCCGGGGAGCCCGGACCCACGGTCCGCTCGGCCTCGCTCTCGGGACCGGCGGGTCCGAGGCGTCCGCTGTCCTGCACCCCTTTCAGCACCTCCGGACCCCAAGTAAAGGTAGCCTGCGCCGTGCGCTCGTTAGTCTGAGCCTGCTGCCGAGACCTGCCGCCTCCCCGCAACGTCCAGTGCGTCAGCGCCCGGCGAGCAGGGTCCTAACCCGAGGCCGAGGAGGCCAGACGGCCTCGCGAAGCGGGCAAGAAACGACCAGCCTTTGTGGTTTTTAAAGGACAAAGAAGAGAAGCCTGTACGCGGCCCTGAGCAAGAGCCTTACTTAGCGTTTGTGGACTGGTATTTTAGCATAGCGTCTTGATTTTGAGCTTTGAGCTGAGGCTTTAGGGTGTGTAAATGGAAGCAAGTCAGTAAGAGTTCAGCCTTCTGTCCGTGTAAAAGCAGCAGTTGGCCCAGCCCTTCCGTCCGGAGATCGCTGGTAGAGCCCTCTGTGTCCAGAGCTGCCCACCTGTAGTCCTTCAGCCCCTGGGCTCCTGCGGAGTCGGTGATGGAGCAGGTGCTTCGTGTTTGTGCTGCGCTGCGATCGATCGCGGTTGATGCCCGCGCGAGGTGCACACTGGCCAGAACCCCGTGTTGAAGACCACGTGGAAAGGGCGTTTTATGCACCATGTCCCAGGGCTGGGCTTCCGTCCTGGGCGCACATGGCCAGGAAGGGGTGCTCCTGGTGACTTGGGATGCTGTTGGGAAGCATCAGTGAATTCCTCTTGTGATTGGAATAGTGAATAACGCTCTGTGGGAGAAGTTAACCTGGAATATCGCTCTTTTCAGATCTTTGGGGTCTGTTTCCTTTTTAATCCACCCCCCTTCCCATCTGTGTCCTTCACGAGGAAAGGTGGGATCAGAAAGTGCCTGGTTCCTCAACTCATTGGAGACCTTGGGTCAGAAACATTCGTCAGGAATTCTTGCAGTAACAGTCAGTGGTGCCGAGAATTAGATACCCAAGAGAGGGTTTAAATGGAAGGATCCAGATTTAAAAAGTAGTGAACTTTTATTTTCTAAAGTGTCTCCTATTATTAAGAGTTGAGAATAGAGACCTCTTCTTGAATTATTCTGAATAGAAGACTGAAGGTGGGTGGGAAGAGAACGGGGTCTTATTTTTCTGTCAAGGCAGTGGGGCAACCTCCGCAGTAGGTTTCAGTGGAGCATTTGTGTCTGGTGTTTCTCACTTTGAACTCCAGATTGGTCACAGAGGTGACACGTCCTCCGTGGAAATCGGGTCTGACCCAAGCTCAACCTGTTTTCTTTCCACTGTACCATCACCTTGGCATAATGTACAAAACGGACTATTAAGCAGATTTCTGTACAATGCTGTAGAGATTAGATAAGGAAGTAAACGTAAGTGCTCTCTAAGCGCTAAATACATAAAACCAGGGGCGCTTTGCTGTCTCCTTCAGAAGAGTGTGACTTTGGTCTCGGGGTTGTGAGTTCGAGCCCCACGTGGGATGTAGAGATTACTTAAATAAATACAATCTTAAAAAAAATAAATACATAAAACCAGTATTTTCTGCCATAAAGCCTAGGACTGCAGTGATACTTTCAAAAGAGTTTTAATTTTTGTTCCCTAAAGTATTAACTCATAGTGGTGTAATTGTTAGGAGGTCTGCCCCTCATCAACAAAGAGTGTTTACTCCTGTGTTCAGAAAGAGTCTTTTTGTCTGTGTGGCTAATGGTTAGAGAAGTTAAATATGAAATATCAGAAAGATGAATATATACTGAGTGTTGGTTATAACTTAGGGCTGTTCTCCCAAGTTGAAACTTTATTTGCTTTAGGAGCTCATGCATGGCTAGTTCTTCATTTAGTTTCTCTGGCTCATGTATTGGAAAATTAATGTTTGGAAGGATTGGCTCTGGGAATTACACTGTTGATTTAATATTATGAGTGAGTCCAGTAATTTTCTAGACTTATTTCAAATAAAATCAGTCTCTGTTCTCACACAGAAGGTGTTTAAAACCGTTCCTCCTTTTAAGGAATGTTGGCATTGAAAAAGTTGTCACTTTGCCAGGCACACTTTAAGGAAGTAGAAAATGATCATACTGTTAATAAAACACAAAATCGCTGGGTTTTTTTTAACATTTAAAATATTTTCCTGTGTTATACATTTGTTAAGCAATTTGTGACCTCTGTGACCTCTGTGACAATTTAAGGTTAATGATAACCTTAAATTGTTTCACATCATACTTCTGAGGAGACTTTCACCGCATTTTGTCTCTTGGAGAAATTGATAGCATAAATGCAGAGAGGAGAATAAGGATACATTTAATGTGGATTTTGGTCTTCAATGTAGTATTCTGTTCAGATTTCAAACGATAGTGTGATTAGCAGTTGCTCAGCATCTGACACAGAGTTAATACACCTGCTATCATTCGTGCTGTCTTTTGCTGAGGCTTCCTCCCCAGGATTTTGGTTGTAAGGGGTTTCTAGAAGTAGCTTATAAATCCTTTGATTCCAGAAGTATAGTAGCTAATATTTTTGTTTCCTTCATTGCACTTCATGTGATTCCACACCCAAGAGCTACTTAATACATTATTGTTATAAAAAAAAAAATGAACAACTTTTGTGTTCATTTGGACATGTTCTTGTTTGCTTGCTATTCCAACCTTCTGTGCAGCAGGCCCTCCTTGCTTTCTTCTTGTTCATTTTTTTCCATCCTTCTAGAATCCAGTTTACCTTCATCTTCATAGCTTGCTCTGATTCTTCCAGTTTGGAGGCACTCTCTGCCCTCGGGGAATTTGGAACGGGGTTTAGAACACTGTGTAGTCAGTGATTCTCAAGCTAAATTGTAATCCATGTGTGGGCAGGGCATAGGTTTACCTTGATTTTTTATTCTTTTCAGTGCTGGCTAGCCATATAATCGGTACTTGGTAAACAGTTGGAGACTAAGGGGGTGATTTGTTATTTTGCTAAATTCAAGAAAGAGAAGGTGAAATTCATATTGAAAACGAAAGGATTGGCTCCATTCGGAGGGAATAAAGTAATAATAATAAATATAATTTATTATATGTATATATAACAATATATATTATATAATATATAATATAATTTATTATATTTATATATATAATAATAAACATAATAAATAATAAAGTTTGCTGTAGTGCCTGGTGGTTGATAAGGATAGCTAACATCAGTGCCCGTTTGCTCTGTCCAGGAAGCAAGCTAAATTCTTTATGGGCATTATCCCAGCCAGTCCTATCCCTCCTCTCCTAACCTGTAAAACCGGACTGACAGTAATTCTACTTCGAAGGATAACGTGGCACAGTGCTCGGCACTCAGAAAGTGCTCAGTAAAGGGTAATAGTTGTGGCTGTAGATTTTGTTATGTCCAGTGTCATGATGAAGAGCTGGCACTTGAACATGCAGTTGTGTTAATTGACCTTGAACCTCATTCTTTGTCTCTAGTCCATTCTCATTCTTAGATTTCCCAAAAGCATAGCTTTCCTTTTCCTGAATTCTCACGTGTGGGAGGTCCTTGAACCTCATTTAGCCTTAAGCTTTATTATTTCTCACATCCATTCCTGTCTGTCCTCACCCAGTGCACACCCCTCGCCCCCCAACGCCATGGTCCCCTATAGCTCTTAAGTTGGCTGAGGGCCAGAATTTCCTAGCTGGTCTTATTTCCAGACTTTCTTCTCCTTTATCATCCCCAATGCTGCTGGAACACTCTGTCTAAAACACCCATCTGTTCTCTTAATCTTCTGTTTACAATATGGCCCTAGACCTCCATTCCAGGACCCCCCCAGGGTCCTACCTGACTCAGTGACCTGCTCGGCTTTCCTTGGCCATCTGTAATACACCCCTTCATGCCTTCCCGCCTGCTGAAGTCCTGTTCCTCCTCCGTGTTCCAGCTCAAGTGTCTTTCCCAGAACTTTGACACTCCTGCCGGAGGCTTGCTCGTTCCATCTTTTGTGCCCAGGATGAGCTGTTACTGCACTGGGCTGACTGGCAGCAGCTCCGGGTCTCCCTTCTGTGTCACCACTAGCCTTGTGGTAGCACCCAGTATATGCTCTACAAATGCCACTTGTGACTGAGGACAAAAGAGCACATCTCAGGAATTC